GTTAGCGTATGAACTCTTTTTAACCACCCAGAAGAAGACAATATATTAGCAGATAGCAGAACGACAACATGAACAAAACCTGGGTCCCAGGATTACCTCACAGACCAGAGTCACCCAGAGACCCTAGACAAGTAAACTTTGAACAGTTCTGTGCAAGGATGATACTTTTCTGTTCATTGAGCAACTCAGATTTTGAATCCCTTTGTTACCCCAGGACAGCCTGTACTCTAATACAGGTTCTTTCCCCAGAACAAACATATCACCTAATAAATTGTATTTCCCTTTACAGAGTTCTTTCTTTTCTGTAAATGAGAAAGAAAAAAAAAAAAAAAAAAAACTGTGCTTGTATATTTTGGGAAATGTATCTGGCATTGCCAAATCACACTGCCTTCTATCAGCAGATTTAGATTCTATGCTAGCAACATACAACTCTCAATGACTCCTGCTATTTTTCTTATTTTTTCAGATGTAATAAAGTTATGGATTTTATTTCTTCAACTCTGGTAAGTATAGTAAAATGTGATTTTATGCAAAAAAGTCATATCACAGGGTGTTGGTTAAGAATGTGGGGTCTAGGATCAAACTGTTGGAGTCCAAATATGAACCTGTCCATTAACTAGTTGAGTAATTATAAACAAGTCATTTAATCTCTCTCTGCCCAAGTTTCATCATTCATAACACTCAACTATTCATAAACATTTATTGAGGCCCTGTTCTAAGTATTGGGTGTACAGCATTGAACAAAACAGGCGAAAAATTTCTCTTCATAGAACTTACATGAAAGTGGGGGAAAATAAACAAGAAAAAGAATAAGCAAAAGATATAGGATGTTAGTTGGAGATAACTTATGGAAAACAAATGAAGCATGGAAGAGTGACATGTTTGTTTTAAGTAGGGTGGTAAAGCATAGTCCTACTAGATATTAGAAAGAGAATGAGAAAAGAGTCATGCAGTTATCTGGGGGTGGAGAATTTCAGGATGAAGAAGAGCAGACAGGAAGGTCTTTGGCATAATCAGAACTAATGTGTCCAGGGAGGAGTGAAGGGCTCAATGTGGCAAAAACAAAGTGAGTATGACAGAATAGTGAAGCGTGATTTCACAGAGGTAATGAGCCAGGGGAAGATTATGTTGTACCTTATGCTCTTTTAAGGGTTTTGGCCCTTACTTTTAGTGTGCTAGGACGTCTTGCAAGGTTTGAGAAGAAAGATGGTATTTGGCATATCACTCTGGCTTCTCCATTGAAATTAGATTCAAGGAGAGTAAGGGAATAAATAGAGATAAGCTAAGAGGATGCAAGAGTAATTAAGACTGAGATAATAGTTCCGTGGGCCAGGGCGGTAGCAGAGGAGGTATTGAGAAGTAGTCAGACTCTGAGTAAATACCATAGGTAGAATGCATATGATATGCCTAAGGATTAAATGTGAGGTGTGTGGAATAAAAAGAAAACCTAAGGATTCTTCCTAAGTTTTAGCATGAACAAGTAGAAGGATGGGTTTCCACTACCTAAAATTAAGTTTTGAATGTTGCAGTTACCCATCTGAGAGTTGGAGTCCCTGGGTGGCACAAACAGTTAACTGAAAGGTTGGAGGTTCAAGTCCACCCAGAGAATCTCAGAAGAAAGGACTGGGGATCTCCTTCTGAAAAATCAACCATTGAAAACACTATGAAGCACAGTTCTACTGTGACACACTTGGGATCACCAAGAATCAGAATAAACTTGATGGCAACTATTTTATTGTTGTTTGACTCTGAGAATTATCTTGCAAAGATAAGCCATGCCCATTAATATTATTATCTATTCATCAATTATTTGCAAGAAAACATACTTGGAAAGTGCTCGTATTTTCTTGTGCTCTATTCCAGTCTTATTTTCTTTACTGTTATTTAAATAGTTGAACTTTTACAATACATAGATTTTTGGCACAACATCATGAACAAAAAAGTTATATTCTAAAAATACATAAGAAAACATATTACGTAAAATATGGAAAGCACTTATATATACATATTACTTAAAATATGGAAAGCACCAGGAAAATAAGAGGAAATATAGATGATCTAACTCATATTGCCCATAGGTTATATTATTCTTATTTAATATTATTATAGACATACTTTCTATACTTCTATATTGTATTATAAAGATGGTAGTGTAGTCTGAGTTTAGTTAAATTTTAAACATTTCTTAAATTAGTTTTGTCTACAAAACCATAGAATATGTTGGAAGTCTTTGCTAATATGGACCTACAGGATACATTAAAAAAATACATTAATGAAAGTAAGCCAAACATAATTTATAGAAAAGGCCAGAAAAGTGGAAAGAACATGTAAATATAAGAAAAGACATAATGCATTTACAAGATTAGATATAAGCTAAAAACTCTTATTTTAAAAAAATTGTTTATCACCTATAATGTAAAAACAAATATATGTATATAAATATTCCAGACAATACTCACTTCAAAGTAAAAATAAGCTATAATAAAATAATTATATACAGTATTGGTATATAAGGCACACTTGTAAATAAATTAAGAAAGTAGAAAAATGCAATTTTTCTTCTTTTTTTATTGTACTTGAGGTGAAGGTTTACAGAACAAATATTTTCTCATTAAACAGTCAGTACACGTATTGTTTTATGACATTGGTTAACAACCCCACGACATGTCAACATGCTCCCTTTTCGGCCTTGGAGGACTTTTTTTTTTTTTTGGTGAAAATATACCAAAGATACACCATTTCAAAAATTTCTACATGTACAATTCAGTTACGTCGATTACGTTCTTCCAGTTGTGCTGCTATTCTCACTTTAGATGAAGGTTTACAGAACAAAATAGTTTCTTATTGAACACTTAGTACACATATTGCCCTATGACAATCGTTAAGAACCCCACTACATGTCAACACTGTCCTTACTCAACATTGGGTTCCCTATCACCAGCTTTCCTGTCTCCGTCTGCCTTCTAGTCCTTGTCGCTGGACTGCTGGAAAAACACAATTTTGATTTAAAAGATTTGAATAAATCAATCAGCAATTTTCAAACAGTGGAAATTAGTTAAAGCTTTTAATCCTAAAACAGAGGTTACCCTTCATGTTAAACATTTAAGGAAAAACGTTTACCATGAATAACAAAACATAATTTTAAAAAGAACACCTTAATGTAAATAAAATAATTAATGATATTACCTGAATGGAAACAATATATGTAGTAACCATTAGAGAAATTAAAAATCTACTACATGGAAAATGAAAAAAAATATTTTCTGAAGTAATCTTTGAACAACAGAGAAAATTAAAACTCCAATTCTAGGATATGAAGGGGATATTAAAAAAAGAAAAAAAAGATATTTAGCAATCTACTTGACCAAAATTTATGGAATGCTCTAATCCTGAGTTCATTGCCAATTCTTAGCTTTATGATTTTTCCTATTGACAGTTTAAAACAAGTGAAGGAATCATTTAACTTGGGAATTTATTTTTAAAGAACAAAATGAGCCTATAGAAATCAGGGTAAAGACAATGATTTTTTGAAATACACAAAAGTTTAATAGCAGTAATCTATTGAGGCTTGTTTACAATCCTAGAAAGGTAGGATTTTAAAATGTTTTGCAAGTTTACATCAACAATGTATCACTGCATGCAGGTTTGTAACCTGATGAATTTACAACTTTCCAAGTCCACAAGTGTTGCAAGATGAGTCTTGATTTTGCCTGTGTGCTAAAACCATATTCATTTCAAAGATTTATATGACAAAAAATTGACAAGTATTATATGGGTAAGTGGAAACCGAAAGATGCAAGAGAATATAGAATTTTTGTTTAAGTATGTAATATATACATACATATACATAGGTATTTGTCTAAAAGAAGAAGGAAGAAAACTCTCAAGAATGATGAGGTCATTTATATTCTCTTTAATATTTTTCAATGTTTTCTTTAATGTTAACATAAACCATTTTTCTGTACTTAATCATACTGCAATATTTACTTCATTATAAGTCCAAAAGTGTGAAGGGTTGAGTTTTTTTTTTAATCTAGTTTTTAAGCTACTTGTATGTGTATCAATTAATTAAAAATAATTTACAAAACACCAGTGAATATTCTTATAACAAAAGGCATTGTGCATTCAAAATATTGCAATCCAACCCACTGCCTTTGATTCGATTCCGACTCATAGCATCCCTGTAGGACAGAGTAGAACTGCCCCATAGGGTTTCCAAGGCTGTAATCTTTACAGAAGCAGACTGCCATGTTTTTCTCTCATAGAGCGGCTGGTGAGTTCAAATCTATGACCATTTGGCTAGCAGCTGAGTGCTTTAACCATTGCACAAGAAGGTCTCCTTAAATATTACAAGGATGTATGTATTCTAATGATAATGAGCAGAACTTCTTAGTACTACACAAAATGCATTTTTTGTCAGATTTAAACTGTGGTATAACTCTATGGATCAGGATTTATTATTTATTTTTCATAATTAAGAAAAACAAAGCTTAAAGTGTTAGTAACTTATTAAGGGTTGTGCAGCTAAAATGGTAGCAGAGCTGGAATCTACCCCAGAATGTCAACTCTAAAACAAATGCTCTTAACAACTGTGCTATACGTCTTCTCTATATAATACACAAATTGAGTTCTGAAACTATTATCACTGTGCCAAAAACATAGCTGTTATCCACAACTGAACTCTCTGAAATTGGATATGCATGGAGGTTGGTATGATATAGTTAAAAAAATAATATTATGTTTCCTTATTCTGCAAGTTAATATCCCTTAAAAGCATATATTTTAAACCACAGGTTTAACTCATATTTCCTGGTTTCAAATTACAATACAGATTTCTAAAAAAAAACTTATTGCTGGAGATGTCCAATATCATATAGAGTCAAGTAAAGAATGGCTCAACAGAAATAGAGATTAACTGAAATATAAAATTGTTTTTAGAGAGAAAGACCAAACAAATACCCAGTAGGAAGGAGAGAAAATATGAGAGTACATACGTAACATCACTGTCTTCTTAAATGCCTTGTGTTCTCTCTCTTCTGCATAACTCTAACGAGAGCATTTTTCACTTCTTTGTTTCTAAGACTATAAATGAGTGGATTCAGCATGGGGATCACAATTGTATAAAAAACGGAGGCCACTTGGTCCTTTCCCAAGGAGTAGGACTTATTTGGCTTTAAATAAGTAAAAATCATAGTACCATAGAAGATGGTGACTCCCATGAGGTGGGAAGCACAGGTAGAGAAGGCTTTTTGCTTTCCTGACATAGAATTGATTTTCACAATAGTGGCGAGAATGGATGCATAGGACACGGAGATTGTAGTAAGAGACACCATTAGGGTGGAGCCAGCAACAACAAATATTATGATCTCAATGTCATGTGTGTCAGTGCAGGACAGGGCTAACATCGGGGGTACGTCACAGAAGAAGTGATGGATTACATTGGAGTCACAGAAATGCAATGAGTTCATGCAAAGCACACTGGCAAAAGAGTCACTGAAGCCAATCACATAGGATACAGTGATGAGGGAGCAGCAGAGTGTCACAGACATAACAACTGGGTATTGTAGAGGATTGCAGATAGCTACGTAGCGATCATAGGCCATTGAAGAGAGAAGAAAACATTCAGTGGCACCCAAGAAGACAAAAAAATACATCTGGGTGAAACAGCCCCCGAATGAAATGTACTTGGTAGAAGTCAGTAAGTTCTCTAAGGTTTTAGGGGTAATGACTGTTGAGTAACTTAGGTCAAGGAACGACAGATGACTGAGGAAAAAATACATGGGAGTGTGAAGCTGGAGATCCAGGCGGATTATTAGTATCATCCCTGCATTCCCCAGCACAGTAATCAGGTATATCAGGAGAAATAGATTAAAGAGGACCAGCCGGATCTCTTCAGAGTCTGTCAATCCCATGAGGATGAAGTCAGACACATTTGTGTTATTCCTTCTACTCATAGTGTGCAACTTCTCTAAACTGTAGGAGATTAAATTTGATACTTAGCATCAGTGACTTCAAACAGGTTTTTGTTTATATGAATGACCTGGCATTCAAAAAAAAAAAGTTTTGTGTTTCTAGAAATTGATAATAGAGGGGTTTACAAAATAAGATGGAACAAAACCTTACTTTAATCATCATATATAAATATGGGTAAAAATTGATATTAGAATGTTATATAATCAAAAAGTAACATGTTTCATGTACTTAACATGAAATTGCCAGTGTTCTTAATGCTTCTCTTTGCTAACACATTTAATCTCTTGAAAATATACCATAGATGTTACTATTATCCACATATTTTAATATGAAAATTGGCACGGAAGTTTAAGTAATTTATCCAAAGTCAGAGCAAGTAATTGTTGCCTCTGTGATTCTACCTTGTTAGGTTTATTACAGAAAGCATGCTCATAACACTATATTCTTAATTATAATTAATTTCAGCAACTTGAAGGAAAATTATAAACATGTAGTAAGCAATGATAGAACTATAGTTTTAATTCATCATTGACTATCCTTTTGCTTCCAGTATTATTTAATGCTACTGACAAATCAGAAATTTCAACCTTTGGAGTCTTTACTGGGTGATGTATTAAAATTATTGACCGCAGAGTATTCATTTCCAAAAGACATTTTGTTTTCTCAACTTGATCATTAAAATTCCTTCTGAAAATTATATTTCCAGTATATGAACATTCGCTTATATCTAACTGATTCCATCAACTCTATATATCTGTTTCCACAAATCCTGGCATTACTTACAATAAGACACGTATTCTTCCTATAATGTCTCTGTCTTATTTGATTTGACCTATACCAAACCATAACCCATTGTTGTCAAGTTGATTCCGACTCATAGAGACCCTATGTAGGACAGAGCAGAACTCCCACACAGGTTTTTCAAGGCTTTAAATTTTTACTGAAGCCGTCTATCACACCTTTTTCCCGTGGATCAGCTGGTGGGTTCGAATTGCTGACTTTTTGGTTAGTAGCCGAGCACTTAACACTGTAGCACCAGGGCTTCGTGATCTAACCTAAAACCCTCTAATTTGGAGGATAATACTTACATTGAACCAAAGGTGGTGAAATTTTGTTTCTTCCAATATTACCTGCCTAAAATTTTGTCAAGCTCAAAATTTTCTTCCGAAAAATAAAATAAAATAAAACATTTAAGGAGAAGAAAATTTCTGTGATATATTATTTTCCTTTCAGATGTATAATTTTTACATTTCTGTGCATGCATTTTTTTCTGAGATAAAATAAATCAACCTCCAAATGTTGTTCAGTTCCTAGTCAAATGTAAAATTCACAAGGAAATTATATTTCTAAATAATACCTGTGAGCTACTATGTACTTAAGCAGAGTAGAGCATCCGTTACCTCTCTCCCTAATAATTCCCGGGCACCTCATATACTGGGGATTGCTGATAATGCAACATTCGATCATCCTCGGGGACTAATTTCCAAGGGTGATTGCTAGGCACATTTCCAAGGATAAAAGTTCAGGTTCTAATGTATTCATGTTAGGCTTGTAAGAAATTGTTGCTCACTCTCTTAGAAGCAACATATTGAGGAGCATGTTGGTTTGGTCTTCCTTTGTGATTTTCCACGTTTTTTTACTAGGATGTTAGAGAAACTATTTCTAGAGAAATACTTAATTCCTCTGTAACTCAAAGGCCAAGTAGTCAACTTTGAATAGTAGAAGTACTTTCTTTAACTGAATTATTTTTTATATTTTGAAGTATGATAGTATCGTATAAAGAAAACATGTTTATTAGAAAAAGTTAGAATACAACAAAATTCAAAGAAAATGAAACTCATTCAAAATTATTGTTAATATTTTGATATATTTTCTTCCAATTATTTTATTTTGTGAGTAAAATGCATACTTAAATGTCTACTTACATATTATCATCAATATCTTCATTCCATTTTATCACTAAACACGAATAATAATACCCCTTGACCTATGTTAGATTAGCCTTCTATAAAACAGTTTCATGTGTTATGCATTGACTAGTGCCCTGTAGCTAACTTCTCAAGAGTATTCACCAGCAGACAGGGGGACACTTTGAGGCATCACAAGGAAAGCATGGTGAGGGTTCTCCATTCGGGTTTGGCCATGTCACCTAATTCATCTACCCAGAAATCCATGCAACTTGTTCTATCATTTTAGTGAACTTGGCTTTTTTTTTTTTTTTATAGAAAGAAAAATGAGAGCAGAAATTAAAAAAAAAAAAAGATGCTGAGATTAGTAAACATTTTAGAATATTATATTATAAAAAGATAAATACATTATAAAAATTATTATTCCTCTGAGTATGGTAAGGTCAAAAGTTTTCTTAACTATAAAGGAAAATACAATATGAAACAAGCTGAAATATTTTATTTAAGATTATTTGTCCAAGATGCGGAAGCAAAGGAAGAATCTGAAAAAAATATAAACTTAGAATAAAATATTCTTATGAATTGTGTTACTGGAATCTAGAAATACAATTAATTTTTATGTACTGTATTTTTACACAGATAACGTACCCCCTATGCATTTGTTTGCCAGTCATGCCTTCCACTTGCAGGGCACACTCACAGGAGATGCCATGCCAATTCTCTTCCACATGTTGCTGTAAAAAAAAAAAAAAAATAGCATAGGAAGTGTCTTAGTCATCTAGTGCTGCTCTAACAGAAGTATGACCAGTGGATGGCTTTTATCAAGAGAAATGTATTCTTTCACTGTCCAGTAGGCTACAAGTCCAAATTCAGGGTGTCAGCTCCAGGGGAACACTTTCTCTGTTGGCTCTGGAGGAAGGTCCGTGTCATCAATCTTTCTTTGGTTTGGGAGCTTCTCTGCACAGGAACCTCAGGTCCAAAGGATGCGCTCTGCTCCTGTCACTGCTTTCTTGGTGTTATGAGGTTCCCATGTGTCTCTGCTTGCTTCTCTCTTTTATATCTCAAAAGAGATTGAATTAAGACACTATCTAATCTTGTCAACCTCATCAGTATAACCTCATCATGTGATAGAATTTACAACACATAAGGAGATCACATATAATCTCGTCATAGTGATAGAGTCTACAACACATAAAGAAATCACATCAGATTACACAATCATACAACACTGGGAATCATGACCCAGCCAAGCTGACAGATATTTTGGGGGGACACAACTCAATCCATGACAGGGAGTTTACAAAAATACCTCGAAGGAGTAGGGCAGTGCTAGCAAACAAACTCGCAAAGTGAGCATTATTTGTGTAAAATACAGTATTGACTTTATCTTAATATATTGTTATTTTCATTTGTTTCATCTTGTACTTTTTGGTGGATTCTGAAATCAGGCATAAAATAATTTTACTTCTTTTCCAATCTGTATGCCTTTTATTTCTTTTTCTTGCATTTTGTCCTGGCTAGATTAATCCACACAATGCTGAGTAGAAGTAGCAAGAGTGTATATAATCTTGCTCGTTTCAGATCATTGGAGAAAACATTAGATATGCACCAATTAAATAATAAGTTAGCCATAGCTGTTCCATAATGTTCCTCGATCAGACTGAGGAAATTTGCTTATTATTATTATTTTTTTTTAAAGCATGACTAGGTATTGGATTTTTCAGGTAGTTTTTCTGAATCCATTGTGATAACATCTTTTCCTTTATTATCATTTCAATATAGTGGATTATGTTGATTAGTGTTTTAATATCTACCCAATCCTATGTTTCTGAAATAAATCCCACATGATTATGATATATAATTATTTTATACATTTCTGGATTAAATTTGCTATTATTTTATTTTATTAAAGATTTTTAAATATCTGAGCATTAAGGATATAAGCCTGTCATTTTTCCCCTGTAATGTGCATTTCAATCTTTGATATTAGGCTTATATTAGACCCATATAATTATTTTGGAAGAATTCCTCTTATTCTTTTTTCTGAAAGAACTTGTGTAGTATGTGCACAGTTTCTTCTCAAATGTTTAATAAAAATTACCTTTTAACAATTTTGGTCTAAAGATTTTAGGATTTTTGTTTTTTGGAGGGGGTGGAACTTGTGAATTTATTACAATAAATTTACTTTTTTTTGATATATAGTGGGATATTCCAGTTCCTTTTTCTTCATATTCATTTTTGGTAAATTGTGTTTTGAAAATAATATCCCCATTTCATTCAATTTTAAATTTATTCTTATATATATGTTTATAATATTCCCTATTGCATATGACATCTGCAGGCATTTTCGTCTTAACTCATATTTTACTGAACAATCTTTCTAGTGATTTATCAATTTTGTAACTTGTTTTTCAATGTAGGAAATTTGTACTGTATGCATTTTCTCTATTGTTTGTCTGTCTTCTGTTTTATTTATCTCTATGTTTTATGCATGTTATTTCCTTCACTTTATAAGCTTTGGGTAATTTGTTCTTCTTTTACAAGCTTGTCAAGGTGATAACTTTGATCATTGATTTAAAACCTGACATTTAACATGTAAATTTATAATTTTTTTCCTAATGACTGCTTAAGCTGCATTCACAATTTGTGATTACATTGGATGTTCATTTTCTTTCAGTTTAACATATTTTCTAATGATTCAGTGAGAAGCTGACATTTGAGCTAAGACTTGAAGAAGGGAAGAGTTAGTCATGCAGGTATATGGGAAGAAAGTGTTCTAGGCAGGGGGAATGCCGGTGAAGAGGCTCTGTGCAGGGGATGATATGTGCATTGTGAGGAATAGTGAAGAGGCCTGTCTAGCAAGAATGGCATTTAGTTGGTGGGGGTGGAGAGAGAATAATAAAGTATATATATGTTGATGGTGATAATGTTATGTAGAAAAACAAAGTGGAGGGAAAACATGAGGACACTTGGGTTTGCTATCTTAAAAAAGAATTTTCAAGAGATGGAATCCATGTACCCTCTTCTTAAACCTGGGCACTACTGTTTGAACTTTAGGTCTGCCTTGATGAATAGAATGTGGCAGAAGTGACACTGCGTGTCTT